CTGACAGCTCTCTCCTGCCTCCCGCTGTCGGCTCTCTCCTGCCTCCCGCTGTCGGCTCTCTCCTGCCTCCCGCTGTCGGCTCTCTCCTGCCTCCCGCTGTCGGCTCTCTCCTGCCTCCCGCTGTCGGCTCTCTCCTGCCTCCCGCTGTCGGCTCTCTTCTTCCTTCTTGGTTACTTTTGATGTCAGTAGTCTGGCAGATCTTGGTGGAAATGTAATATGGAGGTTCGGGGACATTGTTCTTCATGTTGGTGCCGTTGGGTTTGGTGAGCTGGGTTTGGTGTCTGTCCCTGGGGGGTCATCATGCATCAGTCCTGCACGGGGCCCATGTAACCCTAGGCCGGGATGAGGGGGGATGCAGCATTAGGATGAAGTTTGGAGTCCTCGCTGCTTCTGTTCCGTTTATATGACATCAGAACCCCGTTGTGTTCCCTCAGAAGAGAAATCACTTCCTGTCACATGGAAGATCAAGCGTCTCATATCTGCCGCCTCTTTTACATGATAATAACTGTCTGTCCCCTTCTTTCCCCCCCCCCGCAGGTCCTGTCGCTGGGAGCGGACGTCCTGCCCGAGTACAAACTGCAAGCTCCTCGTATCCACAAGTGGACCATCCTCCACTACAGTCCCTTTAAAGCCGTGTGGGACTGGCTGATCCTGCTGCTGGTCATCTACACGGCCATCTTCACCCCGTACTCGGCGGCCTTCCTCCTGAACGACCAGGAAGAGACGACCAACGAGAGCTGCGGCTACTCCTGCAACCCGCTGAGCGTGGTGGACCTGATCGTGGACATCATGTTCATCATCGACATCCTCATCAACTTCCGCACCACCTACGTCAACATCAACGAGGAGGTGGTCAGCCACCCGGGCAAGATCGCCATCCACTACTTCAAGGGCTGGTTCCTCATCGACATGGTGGCCGCCATACCTTTCGACCTTCTGATCTTCGGCTCCGGCACCGAGGAGGTAAGCACCGCATGTGGCTCCTCTTGGTCACCGGCTCGGCCCCCGTCCACGTGCACCTCCCGGCGCAGGTCTGTACACCAATCACGGAGGTCTGTCACCCTGTCCTGTCTGGCTTCTCTGCAATGCATCATCTCCTGTCACTGCCGTCCAATGAGTGTCTCCGGCTTCACGCTGAGGTTACTGTCGCCTGTCAGTGTTACAATGATGCCGATCTGCCCCCACAATGAAGTGCACGTACCTTTAAACATCCGCTCCCCACCCTGGGCCCCGAACCCAGGGTGGTCTAATATGCAAGCTTCAACAGGTACTGAGACCATCACTGACGTCCTGCCTCCTCCATCCATCATTGTGATAGGTCAGCAGGAAGAGAATGAAGGGGCGGCCGAGCTCAGGAGGTCTTGAAATTTGCATATTGGACCTTCTGGG